ATTTTGTTAATACTTTTTATAATCATTTGTTTTAAAGCCATGACTTTTTCTTTTCGTCATCTTCTATGATGATGAATTATTTTGCTGCCAGTATTTTCCATTTTATTACACCTTGTGTCCCTGTTTGCACAGACTTACATGAATCTGTATAATATTTTATATCAGGAGTCATAAAAAATGATTATCCATCACATTCAGCAATATCAATATAGGATGTCAGGATTTCATTACCAACTCAACTTCGCTAAATCTGCCTGAACTTGGATTGGCTATATCAGAAAAGAAAATTTATAAAAAGGCTCCAAGATCAAGTTGAAGCAGCATTTGATTACATCTTATATTTTCAAAACAAAACCTGATGATATTGTGAGGTATTACCGAAGTACTCAGGGCTAATTAGTCATGAGGTTTCACTATCGAGACCATACTCAACCGCTTCATTTACTAGGTGTGGAAGATTTAGAAACAGAAACATTACTAAGGAGTGAGAACAAAAGAAGAGTAATCAGAACAGTAGATAGCGATTGACATTGCATTTACATTTTTGAAGATTAAAGTTAGCTGGAAAGCATGTAACTGGCAGGGAGTTTCACGAGCGAGAAGTGCAACAAAAGAAACTGTTAGCATAGAATTTATGCTTACATCTTGCCAACTCAACTGTAAATTGGTGAGACTGCATCATCAGTCTATTATTGTGCTTAAATTAAAAAAAGTCTACGTACCATAGCAATGTGCTCATCCAAACAATTACCATGAAAGTATTTCCTTTCTTTCCTGTTATGCCAACAAAACAATAATAATTCTGTAAATATATTTTTTCAATACTTCTTATGATCATTTGTTTTAAAGCCATGACTTTTTCTTTTCTTTCATTGTCTACTATGGTGATGAATTATTCTGCTGTCAGTATTTTCCATTCTATTACACCTCGTGTCCCTGTTTACACAGACTTACATGAATCTGTATAATATTGTTATATCAGGAGTCGTAAAAAATGATTATCCATCACATCCAGCAATAATATAAAAATAGGATGTCAAGATTTCATTACCAACTCAACTTCACCAAAACTGCCTGAACTTTGATTTGTTATATCAGTAAAGAAATTCATAAAAATGCTCCATAATCCAGTGGAAGCAGAATGTGGTTGAATCATGATTGATTTGTTTTTTTGGCAGTTTATCAAACATATGCAGGCTATTTAAAGCCAGAAAATATTTTTAGATCATAAGACTTTCTTTTTTGGATATGCATACAATGCCTGCTATTCTTCTTGATTAAATCAGGCATTTTCATAACAAAGCCTGATGATATTGTGAGGTATTACTGAAGTGCACTAGGTTAGACAGTCACAAGGTTTCACTGTTGAAACTATAACTAACCACTTTGCTCGATGAAATTAAATGAAAAAAGTCACTTTCTATATTTGTGTTGGGGGAGTGTAACAAGATTTCTTACCCAGAATTCCAAGACGTTAACTTTTCATACTATCCTAAACAAAAAGGTTAGAAAGATAACTCCTGTCAATACTGGAAAGAGAAATGACAATCAGTGGAATTGAGAGACATATTTTCTTGAAAAACTGTTTTATGAAAAAGATTTCATATATTTTAGACAACTGTAATGCCAGCTCTTTGGTCAATGAATACCAAATGACCCTTGTATTGAAATAGCTAATTTTACCATTTCCACAGGAAATGATTTCACTATAAAAAAGAAGTGGAAATTGTTCTACTCTGAAAATGCATTGGAAATGATTTTACTATAAAAATACATTGGAAATGATTTTGATATAAAAATACATTGGAAATGATTTTACTATGAAAAGGAATTGAAAATGATTTTACTATAAAAATACACTGGAAATGATTTTACTACAAAAAATGCAAGGGAAATGATTTTACTATAAAAAGGTATTGGAAATTATTTTACTATAAAAATGCATTGAAAATGTTTTTACTATAAAATTGCATTGGAAATGATTTTACTATAAAAATGCACTGGAAAGGATTTTACTAAGAAAATACATTAGAAATGATTTTACTATAAACATGTATTGGAAATAATTTTACTATATAAAAATTGAAAGTATTGCTGGTAATAGCTGTTGTATACAATTGAGAGTGTATATATTTGGGTAGGATTATATCTGGCGTAGATACATGTGTGGCACAGTTTTTGAAAGCTTCATTCTCTTTTGCTCAAACATTATGAACAACAATGTTCTTTTCTACCTCTTACAGCACTCACAGCATGTAAGTACTTTATGAATTAAGAAACATCAATTGAAGATTGTGTATGAAGATTCAACAACTTCAATCAATGAAGGTTCCTTTCTTTCCTGTATAACGATGCCAAGAAAACACAGAAAGAAATCCTGTCAACATATTTTATCAGTATATTTTACAATCATTTATTTTGATTCAATGAATTGTTCTTTTTTTCTTCATCAAATATCATGCTGAGTTGGTCTATCAGCCGGCTGTCAATGTTGTCCATTTCTTTTCACTTTGTGTTTTGAAACTAAACTGACAGCTGTATAGAACCACTTTCTCAGATCAATGGTTAAAAATGCCTTTTATTATGGTTCCCATATAGTATATATATATATATATATTGTGATATCTGGAAAAAGCATGGCATGTGGAACTAGAACAATCTACACCACTGGACAAAATAAAGGGTTCAGTTCTTTTATATAGGAATAAAGTGTCACTGCCAACACTTGAGTTTGAACATAGATCACCAGTGAGCAAACACAGGCAATCCCATTATTGAATTAAGTAGATCATATGACAATAGAGGAAATGAATATATGTAGGAAATAGATGATGACTAACAATCACTATTTTCTAGTGTATCCTCTATACTATATGGATCATTATTTCTATTCTATCCTCTATTACTATTCAGATCACCATTTCTATTCTATCCTCTATTACTATTCAGATCACCATTTCTATTCTATCCTCTATTACTATACAGATCTCCATTTTTATTCTATCTATTCATTCAGATCTCATTTCTATTCTATCCTCTATTACTATTCAGATCACCATTTCTATTCTATCCTCTATTACTATACAGATCTCCATTTTTATTCTATCCTCTATTACTATTCAGATCTTCATTTCTATTCTATCCTCTATTACTATTCAGATCACCATTTCTATTCTATCCTCTATTACTATTCAGATCTCCATTTCTATTCTATCCTCTATTACTATTCAGATCTCCATTTCTATTCTATCCTCTATTACTATTCAGATCTCCATTTCTATTCTATCCTCTATTACTATTCAGATCACCATTTCTATTCTATCCTCTATTACTATTCAGATCTTCATTTCTATTCTATCCTCTATTACTATTCAGATCACCATTTCTATTCTATCCTCTATTACTATTCAGATCTCCATTTCTATTCTATCCTCTATTACTATTCAGATCTCCATTTCTATTCTATCCTCTATTACTATACAGATCTCCATTTTTATTCTATCCTCTATTACTATTCAGATCACCATTTCTATTCTATCCTCTATTACTATTCAGATCACCATTTCTATTCTATCCTCTATTACTATTCAGATCACCATTTCTATTCTATCCTCTATTACTATACAGATCTGCATTTCTATTCTATCCTCTATTACTATTCAGATCACCATTTCTATTCTATCCTCTATTACTATACAGATCTCCATTTTTATTCTATCCTCTATTACTATTCAGATCTCCATTTCTATTCTATCCTCTATTACTATTCAGATCTCCATTTCTATTCTATCCTCTATTACTATTCAGATCACCATTTCTATTCTATCCTCTATTACTATACAGATCTGCATTTCTATTCTATCCTCTATTACTATTCAGATCTCCATTTCTATTCTATCCTCTATTACTATACAGATCTCCATTTCTATTCTATCCTCTATTACTCTATGGATCACAATTTCTATTCTATTCTCTATTACTATGCAGATCTCCATTTCTATTCTATCCTCTATTACTATACAGATCTCCATTTCTATTCTATCCTCTATTACTATACAGATCTCCATTTCTATTCTATCCTCTATTACTATACAGATCTCCATTTCTATTCTATCCTCTATTACTATACAGATCTCCATTTCTATTCTATCCTCTATTACTCTATGGATCACAATTTCTATTCTATTCTCTATTACTATGCAGATCTCCATTTCTATTCTATCCTCTATTACTATACAAACCACTATTCTCTACTCTATTCACTATACTATTTCTCCATTCAAATCACTATATGGGTTACTTTTTGAGCAAGTATTATCAAGCAAGTACTATTATTGCAAGATTATCCGAAGGCATCTGACACCAGCATTGTTCAATGGCGTACTATAGTTGTATCTGCAATTACAAAGTCTCTACCACACAAGCATTACAAAATGACAATGAGTATTCATTGGCATTACAAAAGTGGCAACAGGTGTTCATTGACATCACAAAAAGTTCAAAACACCAATCACCTGAAGAAGCCCAGAGTTTACAACAGCCAAAAGGTTGTGAATATGGCAACAAAGATCAGAACAACAGTCCGAACATTGTAAATAGTGTGAATAATTGTGCAGAGTTGTATCAACCTGATGTCAATGTTGTCCATTTCTTCTCAATTTCTCTCTTTAAACTAAACTGGCAGTTGTATACAACCACTTTCTCAGATCAATGGTTAAAAATGCCTTTGGGCTAGTGATGCTTGTGGATCTTAGTTTAGTTGTTTTTGTTTAGCGGAATATCAACACCTCTGTGGGTTATTTAATGCCAAAATCTAAATATTTTGTATGCAATTTTATTTTTTTTTAGATTTTAATGATACCAGTTTTACTGATTAACCCATAGATGGGGAAGAAGAGATGCATTATTACCTTTCCCAAGGGTATTTACATGTAAATGATTATAACGAATCCAATTAACAATTCCAAGCCATTATAATTACACCACCTGCACATACAAACTTACAGCACCTGGTATTTTCAGGTGGTCACCCATCTAGGTACTGACCAGGCTCAATGTTCCTTAACTTCGTTGATTGTATGGAACCATAGTTTCAACATGCTGTGACCATAAGCCCCTGTAGGTCTTGGCAAGGACCATCTTTCTTCAGGCATTGTGGACTGACGCTATAGAATTACTAACAAAAACTTTGCCAAATAATAGAAACTACATTACTAGATGAATTTCAACGGCAGCCACAAAGAAAATGGATATCACATATAACACAAAGAAAAAAATAATGATGTAATCAAGATGTTAACATTCCACACTACATCAAGCAAAAGGTTAAGAAGGAAACCCCCATCAATACTGGAAAGATTAATAACAGCAACTGGGCTTAAGAAACCTATTGTCCTGAAAAATTGTTTTAAGGGAAGGATTTTATAAATTTTGATCAAAAGTAGTACTGGCTGCTTGGTCAATAAATGCCAAAAATTTCTTTATAAGGAAACAGCTAATATAGCCATTACAATTAGAGATGAGAAGAACAGATACTACACTTTGATCCCAACTTAATGGCCAGGGAAAGAAGAGGAGCTTAACTTGAGTAGCACGGGCTGCTCAGTCACTATATGCTAAATGTTTCCTTATAAGGAAACAGCTAATATTACCATTACCACATGAGTCTATAAAATATGTGTAGTATTGTCATTGTGCTGACTAATAAGAATGCATGTTTGTAATATTATTGTTTATTTCATTTCAGACTTTGTAAACCACTGTCAGCCAGTGTGTTTGTGGCTTTAGGGCCTACTTCAAACATGGACTCTCATGGAGATGACTGAGATTGTCCTCTCTAGAGTAGTTTTTTATTTTTCTGTCATAAGGTTCTTTCCTGCATATACATATCTCAGGCACATTTACGTTGCTTATGTATTCACCTGTTGGTATCAATCACAAACATCCTGTGAAATGCAGATTTGGCTAGTAGGTCATCCCTCAGGTGAACTCGTTTACTCACCTGGCTTCCTTGAAGGACACTGAGGGTAAGGTCCAGTATCATCTGAGGTCAATCACCCACTCTATATGGTTTGCAGGACATTGTTTCTATGTACAAGACATTAGAGATCATGGCTCTCCAGAATTTCCTGTTTTTTGTAGCTCTTAATAAATTAGTCTTTTTGTTATCTTTCCTAAACTCTGTTCTGCTATCTACTTACTCATGCCCACTAAGTATATTATGTCGTTTTATTTCTCCTGACCCTTTTACCTTCAATATATCCTGTGAGTATCAAACTTTCCGAGCCTTCTTTCCTTTATATGTACCTTAGAAATTTCAACTATCTTTTACTGATGTTAAGTATAAGAGTCTTTTTTGTTTCCATTTTCCCTAAAACTTTGTTGCTGTTCATATGTTTAGTCCTGTTATGGGACCTACCTTTATGGACTAAATAGACTCGTCCTATTACTATATATACGGGGAGATTATGCCTCTCAAGAGAGCTGTCTACAGTTGACGAGTTGACTACTGTACTTTGCTGTCAGTCGGATGTGCAACACATTTGTATACATTCTTTTTGTTTAATATGATTTCACCAAATTGCTGAGTTCAAGTTTCCTTTCGGACCTATTCTGGGTCCACAACAAGTCCATGGTATTCTTAGAATTCTTCTGTAGAACCACATTCTTGTTGCTTCAAGTCTCTTCTTCGTCTTTTGAGATTGTCCAGCATTCACTGCCATATAGGACGACTGATATTATGTAAGAGTTCAGTATTCTTTTCTTTGTTTCTAATGAAATTTTCCTTTTTCTTATTACTTTGCTTAGCTTTTGGAAAGCACTTTTCACTATCGACATTAACGACATTTACCGAACTGAATGTCCGAGAAATTTTCATAGATAATTTGCGTACTCCGACAGGAATTGAACCTGTATCCTATACAGGACCATCATATAGCCTGACATGCTTTACGTGCTCCTCTGTGGCTCAATCAGTAAAGCACTTTAGGCTATATGACAATACTGTATAGAATACAGGTTCGATTCCTGTCGGAGGACACATATTTTCTATGAAAATTTCTCGGATATTTCGGCCGCTAAATGTTCTTAATACTGTTTATTATAAGCAGAGCATTTACTTAAATATTTGTATCTATAAAAAGAAAGTATAAACATAAAAAATGTCTTAAAATAAGATTATATGTATGTGTCTATCTTTTTGCAGGCATTGTATTTTACCTTTTTAACTCATTTCTTTTTAAAGTAATACTTGTTATAGTGTTCTTTTTACTTTTCGGTGCTATTTGTATAATATACTAATGGTGCCTGAAGATGTAATGCTTTTTTAATTTGAGACACCTCAAGGAAGACATCCTGTTCCATATATCAAAATGTTGACCATAAATATCCAGTTTATATATATTTTCCTCATTTTTCTGTGTTCATTTGTTGACAAAAATAACATTTAACAGCACTGAAAATAAAATTTTAAATAATATGGAAATTTATTCAGTGTGCGCATTTATCTTGACAAAAGATAGTTCTTGTCGTAAAACTGTAAGGCGGACTATTTTTATGAGTACTATCATCTGTCAAGACATTATATAATAAAGCAATCAGACACATTTAAACATGTATACACTCGTACACATATACATCTAAAATGAAGCAATTTTCTCTCCACTCGTCTCTCTTCTCTTATTCTTGTTTGATGTTAGATATTTTTCTTTTACATTTTTCCTTTTTGCGTTTTCTGTTTTAAATTAAATTTTCATTGGCGTTTATTACTTCCCCATAATTCGCACTTCAGAAAGAAGAAAACGTTGCTATTTGCAAGCTTTTGGCTTGTTCTTGCTTTACACTTTTGTTGTCTTCTGTTCCGCCATTAAAAGCTGTCTTCTTTCAGCAATGAAAAGAACCGAGCAAGATGGGGATGGAGAAACAGCAAGAAATAAAAACAAGAAATGCTGTAAGGAGAAAACAACTGAAAATTCAGAAAGAAAAGATTTTCTGCGAAAAAAAAAATATCTTCAAAAGTATTAATTTAAGAAATGAGAACTTTGTAGTATGGTTTCTTATAACTGTCTCATTCCCTTTTAAATTTCAAGTTTAAAGAATAAAATTAGTTTTCGTGCAACAGAAAAAAAACTGCTTTTATTTAAAACTACATGGTAAAGTGATCATACTTGTTGATATAGGTATAAGTGTGTGGGTATATACATATATATATCTCGATGAATTACTTAATTATGATTATCTCAAATCCTCCTAATAATTTACATCACACACACACATATATTATATATATATACATATATATATATATATGTATATATATAGATATATAGATAGATAGATAGATATGTTTTAAATTGTAATATTCTAGAATAAATAATATTGTTCTACTACGTACAGAGCCCTCATTCCTGTACTCTATTCGTTCTCATTGTACCAATGAGAACGAATAGAGTACACTTCCAACATTCATAACATTTAATTTAAATGGGGGCTCAGTATGTAGTAGAACAATATTATTAATTTCAGAATATTACAATTTAAAACATATAATATATATGTGATAGAAATTATTAGGAGGATTTGAGATAATTATAATTAAGTAATTCATCGAGTCTAGAAGAAACCTCAACATAATGCAGAAAGCACTGGACGGCCGTTTCGTCCTATATTTGGGACTCATCATCAGTGTGTATCCACTACCGAGAATTGAAACCTGGACAGTTATGATATCAGGCAAACGTCATATCAATTGTACCAATGGGCCTTGGTGATGAAGTGGTAATGAATTAGACTCGATATATATAGCCTCTTCGATCACATATTCCGTGGTGGAACTCATCCGAGTTTCCCTTATCCATCAAACTGTGCCCCCAGGAGCCACAACTACTATCCCCGAGCCGCTCCACCCAGAGCATTAGAAACCAATTCAAGCAATAATATACAAGTGATAGAAATTATTAGAACGATTTGTGATAATCTTAATTAAGTAATTGATCTAGAAGAAATCTCAACAAAATTTCTATCACTTGCTGTCCAGTGCTTTCTGCATTCTGTTGAGGTTTTTTCTAGAATCGATGAATTACTTAATTATTATATATATATATATATATATATATATATATATATATATATATATATATATATATATATATCAGATGCAGTTTGATGTAATGGTTGGAAAACGGAATCAACACAGCAAGTTAAAATGACATATGA